TAGCGCCTCTCTCTATATAGCGCCCGATTTTAAATACGTAGTACGATGTGATTTAACATTAAAAGTGACCTGTCTATAGCGCCCCCTCTGAATAGCGCCTTCCTCTCTATAGAGCCAGATTTTTATATACGTAGGACGATGCGATTTACTTTAGAAGTAACCTGTCTATAGCGCCCCCTCTAAATAGCGCTTCCCTCTCTATAGCGCCAGATTTAAATATACGTATTACGATGCGATTTACATTAAAAGTGACCTGTCTATAGGGCCCCCTCTAAATAGCGCTTCCCTCTCTATAGCGCCCGATTCTGATATACGTAGTACGATGTGATTAACATTAAAAGTGACGTGTCTATAGCGCCCCCTCTAAATAGCGCCTCCCTCTCTATAAAGCCCGATTTTAAATACGTAGTACGATGCTTTTAACATTAAAAGTGACCTGTCTATAGCGCCCCCTCTAAATAGCGCCTCTCTCTCTATAGCGCCCGATTTTAAATACGTAGTACGATGCGATTTACATTAAAAGTGGCCTGTTTATAGCTCCCCCTCTCTATAGCACCCTATTTTGGTGAATCCCAAAAGAGACAAGGGACAAGAGACAAGATGGCTTCTGGTTTTGACATCTATTTTGACGGGAGAGGCGACCCTTGTCTCCTTAAAAATTATTGAGTTATACGGAATTTAAACTATTTTTATCAAAACTACAAAATAATACGTTAGAAATTTGTTAATTTATATGGCGATATGCCTTGATACATAGATAATGTTTGTAAAAGAACTATAAATGTACGAAACCTCGACATAAAATAAAAAAGAAACGTATTTCTAACCTTTTTTATATTATGGAAAAAATAGAACGAAAGTGAATTTTTACTTGGATCAGGTGGATATATTTAGATCTAAGGCATCTGCTGATCGTGAAACTCTAAGTTGCTGTTGGCTTGCGCCATCTATCGGAATAAATAGGAAATAATAGTTAATTTTTAATTGTTTGGCCTATTCTGGAATAATTACAAATCAACGATTAGTTTATATTTGTTCCTATAGATGGAGCAAGCTATCAGTAATTTGCACAATCAAGGAGATGTCATTTTTTCTTAATTGTTTTTTTCTGTATTCTTGAAATTTTCAGGAATATAATTATCGTTTAAAAGAAAGTATCGCTTTAAACGACATTAAATCGTTGATATTTTGAATTTCAACCGCTTAATAGAAATGGTGTCTTTTTTTTTTTGGATTTCATATAAATAATATAATTTATAAAATATTTCTCCAGAATTTCATCTATCAACATTTCTTTGTCTTAAAACTAAGATGGAAAACCTTTTCACTTAGAAGAATAAGAATTTAAGATCAATTCAAATCTAAAAATCAAATAAAGTTCTAAATACCTTTCCCAAATGTTATTTAAAGGCAATTGGAGGGAAGAACAAATAAAAAAAAGGTATTTACTCACACAAGGATTCCTTCAATAGGTTTTTAATAAGTCAATTCAGGGAATTCTGAGTGGACCATTCCAGCAGGCAACAATTGGCTGTAGCACATCGACTTGAATTTCAAACAGTTCTTCCCTTTCTACATTGTGCATCAACTTATAGATTCGTCTCACGTTCGTGCATATTCTGAATTGTACCCAGCCTTCTTATGTCTAGATCAATATTGGAGTTGAATTTATATTCTCTCATGTGACACTCCTCCTTTTTCTTCGTAATAAATTATTTCTTAAAACATCATAGAGAGGATTTTTTCAAAGCATAGGTGCAACTTTTGATAGACGAATACAAACCTCTCGCAATTATATGCTACTAGCCGAATGACCCGGGCAACGCCCGTGTTTTACCCGATTGAATGTTTTGATTCAAATACTATTTGTTACAATTATAATTTGGCGCCTTAATTAAATGCATATGTTAGTTAATAACTATAGCCTATGTGCTTTATCTGTCTATGTACTGTTGGCTTCCGTAGGCGTCTCTTATTGGGAAAAAGAAAGAGAGGATTCAATTTGGTTATTAACTAATATATGCATTTATTTAAGGAGGGACCCGCTCCAACACAATAGTTACAAAAACGGAAATGCGAGTGGGGGGGGGGGGGCAAAGGTGGCGTGATCGTAGCCGACCAATAGGAGGGCGCCATTCCAAAAAAAAAAAAAAAAAGCAAATCGTGACAGTGCGACGAAGAATGACGCTCGTAACTGTATATAGAACTAGACGGGTGACCCGGGCTTCGCCCCGGGATTGACCCGTGTGCATATCTACTCGAGTGATATATATTTAGATAAGATTTTTTATGATTGTTTGTTATTAGCATTATATATTTGTTTGCATCAGCATAATTTGATCTAATCTTTGATAGAGGGCGCTGTTCGTGAGCTAAGTAGAATAATTTGAATATATAGTTTTAATAATTGATTTATATATTTTTTAAAATAGCCTATCGTCCTTCCCGTATATTTTTACCTATGTATGGAAATTTTGGTTTGAATTAGTGAACTACTGCGAATTTGTATACCGGACATACAAACAAACATACAAACATTGATTTTTATATATATAGATATATCATATACATATATTTGAATAATTACATATATTTGGATCAGGTGGATATATTTAGATCTAAGGCATCTGCTGATCGTTAAACTTGTTGGCTTGCGCCATCTATCGGAATAAATAGGAAATAATAGGTAATTTTTAATTGTTTGGCCTATTCTGGAATAATTACAAATCAACGATTAGTTTATATTTGTTCCTATAGATGGCGCAAGCTATCAGTAATTTGCACAATCAAGGAGATGTCTTTTTTTTCTTAATTGTTTTTTTCTGTATTCTTGAAATTTTCAGGAATATAATTATCTTTTAAAAGTAAGTATCGCTTTAAACGACATTAAATCGTTGATATTTTGAATTTCAACCGCTTAATAGAAATGGTGTCTTTTTTTTATTTCCCTCAGTTAGTAGATTCTTTAAAATATTTCTCCAGAATTTCATCTATCAACATTTCTTTGTCTCAAAACTAAGATGGAAAACCTTTTCACTTAGAAGAATAAGAATTTAAGATCAATTCAAATCTATAAATTAAATAAAGTTCTAAATACCTTTCCCAAATGTTATTTAAAGGCAATTGGAGAGAAACACAAATAAAAAAAAAGGTATTTACTCACACAAGGATTCCTTCAATAGGTTTTGAATAAGTCAATTCAGGGAATTCTGAGTGGACCATTCCAGCAGGCAACAATTGGCTGTAGCACATCGACTTGAATTTCAAACAGTTCTTCCCTTTCTACATTGTGCATCCACTTATAGATTCGTCTCACGTTCGTGCATATTCTGAATTGTACCCAGCCTTCTTATGTCTAGATCAATATTGGAGTTGAATTTATATTCTCTCATGTGACACTCCTTCTTTTTCTTCGTAATAAATTATTTATTATAACATCATAGAGAGGATTTTTTTAGTTAAGAAATTTCTCTAAATAATACATTTTTGGAAATCATAAACAAATATACTCTTTTAAAATTCGAAACTATTATAGACACGTATGAATATTTCAAAAAATAAACAATATCTACTGCCCTTACTACAATGGAAAAATTAATTGTAGATTAAACTGGCGAAACTGGGAAGGTTCAGCACTGATGATCCAGGCCCTCCCATTAATTTTTACATTGCAGTAAGGGCAGTAGAAATTGTTTATTTTTTAAAAGAATCATACGTGTCTATAATAGTTTCGAATTTTGATAACAGATGACGCCCTAATGCATCATAATATAATCTTTATTAAATTAAAGATTCTTAGACCAGTAAATCTATTTTTTAAAGATTTTACTGGCCGATAAATCTTTAATTTGTAGGGCTATGAATATCGGCCAGGCAGCCTCTATCTTTACAATACTATACTCTTATTTATAACAACAACAACAACAACAACAAACCCTTTATTAAGATACTATTGTCTTACAAGGGGATTCCCCTATAAGGTTTTATATGTACATGAGTGAGGAGGAAAAGCAATTTAGAGGGGAGGGGGAGCAATCAGCCGTTGTCTGTGGAGTTGAGCACTTATTCTCTCATTTTATCAATCGCCTTGAAAATTTTAAAATATTTATAAACAAATGTTTTATCCAGAAGGAGAGTAGTAAAGATTTTATATACATGTTGTTCATTGTAGTGAGTTGGCCCCGAAATTTCGCGAATTTCCAGTCTCTTTTCATGTAGGAATGGGCAATGGAATAGATAGTGGACCAAATTGTCTTGGATGTCAACATTGCAGAAGTAGCAATTTAAAGGGTCGCTGTTCCAAAATCCCGTGATATCCTCGAGGAAAGGAAGCCAGTATACTCTTTAATATTTATTATAAATATACTCATGAACAAAACATAAATAAGTTTTACCTTTTAGCATGTATATCAGGATTCAGACAACAACTCTGAAAGATATTACAGTGACCTTTATTGAAAACACACAAGATAATCAATTTCTGCCCTTCTACAGGATTACAAAAGAACAATAATAAACTCCCAAGGTAATAAGACCAAATTTAAATAAATAAATAGTGTGTGACGTTTCGGTAATAGTGTTGTTACCATCTTCAGACAAAAGTACTGAATGAGAAATTTTACCACAGCATTGCTCTGGTAAAATTTCTCATTAAGTACTTTTGTCTGAAGATGGCAACAACGCTGTTACCAAAACGTCACACAATATTTATTTATTTGAATTTGGTCTTATTACCTTGTGTTTATAATCTATAATACAAATTGCGCCTTATCAATAATAAACGCCATTCTACCTAACGGCGTTTCTTATTGTTATTTTTGTAGAAAGGCAGAAATTCTCGAAAGCTTGAGATTACAATAATAAAAATGAAAATAAACACATATCCAGAAACCTGTTGCAATATTTAAATATTTTAATCGTATTTTAAAGGCATAGGTGCAACTTTTGTTATACGAATGCGAACCTCTCTCAATTATACGCTTAGGGCGCTTAGTAGGGCTAGTAGGGTAGCCTAGTGGACATGGCATCTGCCCGGTAAGCGGAACATTGTGGGTTCGATTCCCATTCCTGGACACTTTTATTTTTCCTTTCATTATTATTCTTCATAATTCACCCTTTCATACCTCATCCAAAAATGTTATAAATAGTCAATATTTCACCTTGAAATAAATTTTGATTTTTCATTGAAAAAAAACTCATGCGGTGTAACTTCAAGTGTCGTTTTACAATTATACGCTTTATATGAAAATTCGAAACTATTATAGACGCGTATGATTCATTTAAAAAATAGAACAATTTCTACTGCCCTTACTGCAATGGAGAAATTAATGTGATACTCCATTACAGTAAAGCCATCAGAAATTGTTTTATTTTTAAAAGAATCATACGCGTCTATAATAGTTTAGAATTTTCATAACAGATGGCGCGCTAATGTATCATCATATGCCATATATTATATACATATATTTGAACAACTTGAACATTCTAGAAAGAAAAATATCGTATTCAATAAATATATGTCATAATTTGTATATAATTAAATGCAACCCCGACCCACTATGTATGTACCATGTATGATTTTCAAAGACTTAATAAAGAACAAGGTAACTGGAGGGAAGCAAGTAGCATTAAGATATAGGAAGTAGACCTAAGGCTGGCACGACTATTCTGGGCACCCCTGTGTCAATATTGCAGGGGCAGAGACCGGACGTCTCTAGTGACCAGAAGTTATAAATGTTGAAGCTAACACCCAATATTTCCGGCAAAGACAGGACGTATCTAATATCCGTCGAAGCTATAAGCGTCAAGCCACCCAACACTTCCTGACGAAATCGGATATACCAGGCAGGGCACATCTTTCATCAAGGAGAGCCGCGGGCCAATCAAAAGATAGCATCTAAATAGGTCAACCAATAGGGAAAAAGCATGTGATCATCTCTCAACCAATCAGAGAGAAACGGAGTCTTGGTGTAAAATCGAAAGGCAAGGATGGTCAGTTAGGTTTTCGCTCTCATAGGAACAACACCTGCAGTAGTGATTTAGCTTCCAACAAGGTAACATCTACTCTAGAGATCTCTCTCTCTCCGCTCATTTCATCTAAATCCAATCATCGCCATGTGATCAACTAATTAATAAGTCAAATCGCTCAGCTCTTCTCAAGCTTTCTTCCCTCCAATCCAGTTGCCTTTTATTTTCAAACCTCATCATGTGTCCTGATTATTCCTAACTGTGTGCTTCACTTCCCACTCAACGACTGCGCTTCAACCAATCCTCACCATTCAAATCGAACAACAAGCAATTCCGCAACGATATTGTCACAGAACGGATAAGTCGACAGGATTCTACAACAGTGTAATACATCAAATATTATAGTGTAATAACAACAACATCATCATATTACACAGAGTCGACAGGATAAAGATTATGGAGCTTAATCAGGATCAAAATGGAAATTAACCCAGACACCAGCAAACCAAAAGGCAATGACAAACCAAGAGAGAAGAAACTGGCAACGAGCGAAAAGAGACTGACAACGAACGAAGCGACAAGACACCCCATTGCGACGGTAATTTTAGAACTGACCGCCGCGCTACAAGGGCCAAGATCCACGCAACTGGAAGCGGTCTTCCGGAGCGCCACCCTCGGGGCAACCGACACCCGCACCGCCGGTACGTGTCCGAACAACCTGACGCCCACCGAGGAATCGCCACCCGCCATGCCGTACCAGTACACACGGAAGCAACCCACGCGACACGGACCCAGTGTACCGACAACGCGATCCACTCGAATGGAAGCAGTACAAATGACTAGATTTCCCTTTCAATCGCGCGGACAGTGCAAAAGGTCCCGATCCGGTCCAACAGATATTCCAAGCCAGCCACACCAAGCCGAAGACGCCACAATGGAGACTTTTCGAGACTAAGGTAGGCAATCCACCCAATGACACCATCAAATTAACTTTGGACTTGTATCTGACCCAGGACCTACCATGTACCTTTCTCATTGAACCAGACGCAGGTTCGAACATATTGCCGTATCATTTATACAATAGATTAAAAGCACAACTTCCCAATTTAAGTATTAAAAAACCTTCCCTTGATCTATCCACCCTAAATAGTTTTACGAAAATAATAGGACATTTAACTTTCCCTCTGACAATAGGCCAAATAACCCGTAGAGAGAACTTCCACGTGGTAAATGCATCCTTGCCATTTGGAGTTCTTACCTTAAAAACCCTTTATCAATATAAATTAAAACTAAATTATAATCGCGGCACTATTTTCCAACTTGGCGTCCCATTGTCTAATACTATCTACCACTTTAAACATGTATCAAATGAATGCAAGCACGGGCTAGGCCAAAACCTGTCCCAAAGGACTCGCACAGCGCCCAAAGCTTTCACACATGGAAAACCTTGCCTGCATTCATTGCCCAAACCCCAAATATTTACATGCCACCATTATAATCTCACACCACACAACTTTTCACTCAACCCAATTACCAGTACTATATGCCCACAACATGTAAAACCACCACGACTCCAACCTACAATTCCAATAATGCCCAAAAAAGTGTCCGTACACCGACACAGCTCACCCACTTACCACACAAAATCCACACATGACCATACTTCGCAACGCCATAAACACGCAAATGTACCTCACAACACGCGCACCCATACGTCGTCACACAACGGTAACACACACAATCCGCACAACACACGCAACACGCACGCCAAAAGACAACAACAACGACAAACAAGCGCGTGCACAACCGTTAAGAATAATACAATCATCCCATCTACACAAAACATAGAAAAAATTCACGCCACCAAACAACCACACAATCGAAAAACATTACGATCTTTCCTAAAAGCTGTGAACGCCTATAAAGAGTTCATTCCGGACCACGCCCGCTTGCGGACGCCACTTATCAACCTTCTAAAAAAGGATATCATGTGGGTCTGGGATGACGAATGCCAGAAAGCGTTCACTAACCTGAAAGAAAACCTTACCACACACCCCACATTACACCTTTACCAGGAAGGTCTGCCATGCCAGGTGTACTGTAACACCTCAACATTCAGCATTACAGGCGTTCTTAAACAAGTCTACCCTGATGGGAAGACATACACCGTTCAACATTTCAGCCGATCTCTACGTAATCACGAGCGAAATTATTCAGACTTGGAACTACAATGCCTAGCCATTGTGGAAAGTGTGGATAATTTCCGCACCTGTCTAATGGACAGAAAGTTTACAATATTTTCTGACCATCCCGCATTGCAGTGGTTGAAAGAGATCAAAGCTCCGTCAGGCAGATTGTTTCGATGGAGGTTAAGATTGTCAAGATACGATATGAGGTCCGTAGCATAAATGGAGTACAACAATATGAAACGGGCATTGGAACTCGTATCCCATTTTGTGGCTTTCTAGATGCGCCACTCATACAGAGCCAACAGTCTTCTCCACCGGGAAAATCTCGCGTGACTATAGATCACAATAAACTGCGCACCGTCTCCCGAAAAGGAGTACTTAAAACTATAGTCCCAAGTTCACTTACAACCAGACTCCTTAAGTCCGTACACACTCAACACCACCATCCAAACATCTCCAAGATGACGAGGCTCATCTCAGCACAATATTATTGGCAGAACATGACACAAGACATCGCAAAACAGGTAAAAACCTGCCCCACCTGCCGATTCGCTAGAAGAATCGATGAATACAAACAACCTGCACGTAAAAATACCGACACAGGTACCCAAACAAAACAAAATTCGTACATAAAGCACAGCGTACACACAACACAAATAATGCCAAAATTACCACATCCACGTCAGAGAAAAGATCACACATCTCAACCTAAACCAATTACCGCCGACATATCTCTAATAAAACCATTGACGATCAAACAGGAGAACTATAAACCGGACAAACAGTTCAATCATACCACATCACTCCCTAAAGATATCAAACAGGAGAACTGCGAACCTACCAATCATTCAATTTCTACAATTAATAAGGATCAAACAAATATTTCAAAATCCCCATTTACAAAAATACGAGAGAACATGGGGCAATACCCTATTTTTCATCTGATTTTCATCCTTTGTTTGTTACTTCTGCCATACAACTGTATTCCAATTTTATTCATCAATTACTTGTTTATATATACCATGCCCGATCAGAAAATCTTCGAACTACAAGAGGTAGTTTTTAATTTTGGACAAACAGTTTTTCATTGTGGACAAGCATTTATAAAACTTCTCATAATTTTAGGAACCATCTTCGCAGAAAATCTAAATAAACTCCGAAGAGATAGCAGTAACTGAAAAAAATGACCAAACAATGTCGGAGAAGCCGTACTCCAAAAACAAGCCCCGAGCCGCACCAAAAATAAATAGACGGCAGGAAACGAGAATTTGAAACACCACGACGGAGGTGTAGTCCGCAGCGATAAATTCGGCCTCTGTAAACAAAGCGGAACGCCTTCGTCCGATCTCCAATTTCATTCCCTCTCGTTTGCCCGACACACCCCACTTCCGTATCTCTAATTACAATGAGAAGATCCCCTATTGAGGTCAACTGGGAACCTCGCTATACCACCGATTTTGATTCCAGTTCGAGTCTACATATCGATTTTTACCAACCAACTCCACATCCACGAGACAACACATAGAACTAACTCACACATTTCTTACACAACAGACTTCTAACATTTTTTCACAACACACACACAAAGACAAAAAATTACACATAAAGGTTATATAGATTTCCATGTCTCCTGTACACACAGCATAAACGCACTTGAGGACTAGAATCACGTTTTTCACCTAAGTGTCGCTACAGACGAGACAAAAAATTTATAGGGCATAATTGAGCAAGTAAAACATTTATAGGGCAAAATGGAGCAACCAATACATGTAGATCAGGGCATGTAGATACCATAGGGTTCAAACCAATACACCTTATTTTTCATATCAATCATTTTCATTATTTTCTCTCAATTAAAAATATAAATGTTTAATCAATTTAGCAATTTATTCAACTTATTATCAATTTTAATCATTAACTA